GCGACGCCCCAATCCCTGCTCCTCTATTTTCCACGCTGTGGGGATTTGACACACACACACACACACACACACACACACACACTCTCTTTGAGTGTTTTTCAAAACTCCGGGGCTGGAATTTGAACTGTGATATCGGCTACGTGGGACCTATCTCCAGTAAGCCATGAGGGCATCACCAGGGATGGCCCCTGTGCACTTTCAATACCCAGTGACTGTCCCCTCCAAAGCCATTACAAGCCATTTCTCTTTAGGTGGTGGGGGCAGGAGGTCATAGAGGAACAGAGGCCCTGAGTTGCAGTCCAGTTCGATGCAGGGCGAAAGGTGCTCCCGGGCTGAAAGGGAGGAGGCTGCAACCTACATGTCTGGGCCCACATGCAGGCAGAGGGCTGCAGGGCAGAGGCTTCCCGGCATCGGGGCGGGGGCCAGGGCAGGGACCCCAAGACTAAGTCCTGAAGGATGAAAGCAAACACGGCTGCATTAAGGGAGAAGAGGACTCCAGGGGGACACACGCCGAGAGAAACCACCCGTGGGGGTGTGAGGGACGGGCAAGACGCCGCCCGGAGGGGCTCTGGAGCTGGGCCGTCCCTGACAAGAGGCCTCTCATCCCAGCCTAAGGACCAATTTCACATCACAATGAATTTTCTAAATAACTCCACATCCCTCCGTGCCCTGGCTCGGAGGTTAAGTCCCACAATGACGGAAGTTTCGAAGGACACTGAGCTTTGAGGAGAGAGGACATGACGTGGCCACAGCTGGGTTCCATGTGGCCAGGGAGGAGCCAAGCATGGGGTCCAGGAGCAAGCCACTGCGGGAGCCAGAAGGATGGAGACAGAAAGGGGACTTGTTGAGGGAAGCCATGGGCGGAGCTGAGGGCCCGGAAGTGTGGGGCTGGTCACCAGGACTGTCCCCACCTGTAATCCTTTAGGGAAGAAGGAAATCTTCCCAGGGGTGGAGCTGCTCCCGTCTCCCTCCCTCCACAACCCACGCCACGATTTCCCGGAAGCAAGCAGAACCGAACCGACCCGCAGGTCTGGGCGGGAACAGGCTCGAGAGCGTCTGGCTGGAACTTGGAGCAGCGTGACGGCCGCCATCGGACCTCGTTAAAGAGCCGAGGGACACGGCGGCGGTTAGACCCTGAACAGGGTGGCCGGGAATGACACGGCTTTCCGTGAAGTGCTGTCACCAGCCTGTGGACAGGCCAGGGTTTGAGGAGACACAAGGGTAAGCCGGGAAGGTTAACGGGAGGGTGGCCTAGGACGATGACGAGGTTCTAACTGGACGACTGCTATGGATGCTCCAAAGGCCCCTTGTTTGGGACAGGGAGTCCCAGGCCTGCGGGGGACGAGAAAGCACGAAGGACAACGGGGCAGTTAAATTCGTCGTAAGACGGCGGCTCTCCCTTCCTGCTTTAAGAGAGGATCCCCAGCATCTAACGTCTGGGTGTAGGACCCTGCCCTTGAGGTGCTCTGTGTTTTCTTTTATTATTATTTTTTTTAACTTTTAGATTTTTGCAATGGAGTGTGTGCCAAAGACACAGAAAGATAGAAAGCGAGAAATCACCCCCCGGGGGGGATGGCCATGCCGCAATCCCTTCTCCTCCACTCTCCTCTTGAGATCTTGGGCACGCACGCACACGCGCCCGGTGTGAGATTAAGCCACCGGGTCCGGGACTCGAACAACGGTCCACATCCAGTGAAGTAGCCATCACGCCATCTGCTGGCCCCATGCTCTGTGTTTTCTAGAAGACACACACACATTGTTAAGCCGCCACAGCAAGGCCAAGATGGAAGCAGGCACGTGGGCAATGCCAGCCCACGTGGGAGCCATGGCTTCTCCTCAGGGAGTGCCGAGGCCACGAGAACTGGGTCTCCAGCGAGGAGGAGAATTGTGTCAGACCCAGGGTGCCGTGAGGGTTTAAGGTGGGGTGTGTGCCGGGTGGGGCTGAGAAAAGGTAGGTGGTGTCCAAGCACCAGGCCTTCCAGAAAGCCGAGGCCCCGGGGGTTTCTAGACACCGCAGATTCACTGGGAACGGACCGGGAAGAGCCTCAGAGACCGTCGGTCGTCCCAGCGCACTGCCTGTCATCTCCGGTCCCCTTACAATTTCTCTGTCACTCATTTTCGTATCTGATGACCGTGTACCTAGGTGGGACAGGTGTGGTGTCTTTATGTTTGTTCTGCACGGGGTGTGTGGAAATTCTCGGACTGAATGCTGTGTTTTCCATCAAAACTGAGAAAAACGTGGCCAAGACGGCTGCCCCCAGCAGTTTCTTCTGTTCGGTTCCCCAGTCGCATGTCCACGGAGAATGCTTGACACTTGTCCCATGGTTCAGAAGCCTGTATTTCTTCATCCGGCCAACATCTATCATCTCCCTTCATTTTCACTAATCTCACTACGTCTGCATCTCTCATCTGCTGTTAAACCCAAGTACTAAGATGTTCACTTCAGGGGCCAGCAGGCGGTGTGCTGCTTAAGAAATTGGACATTCCCACATGGCTGACCACGGTTCGAGTCCCCGACCCCGTGGCTTGCTTTCTCACTTTCCCTCTCTTTCTCCGTGTTTCTCTCTGGTTAAGTTAAAATAAATGAATAAAGTTAAAATAAATAATTCTTAAAAAAAAAAAAAGATGTTTCTTTTAGACATTATATCATTTAGCCCTCTGATTTCCTTTTTGCCATAGGGTGGGTGCCACCACGCCCCCTCTGATTTACTTTTTAAAAGATTTTTTTCTTTTTAGAAGTTTTCACTATAGGGCGTGTGCGCTGGCCAGATAGACAGAGAGAGACAGAGAGAGACAGAAAGCGAGAAATCACCCCCCAGGACGGATGGCCATGCCACAATCCCTTCTCCTCCATTCTCCTCTCGGGATCTTGGGGACGCACGCACACGCGCCTGGTGTGTTTTAAGCCACCGGGTCTGGGACATGAACCGCGGTCGACTACGTGGGAGTCCAGCGACATAGCCATTACGCTAACTGCTGGTTCCCTTTAAAAGATTTTTTAAAATTTAATTTATTATTTTTTTAATAAATAAAAAGTCCAGGACTGAGACTGCTGTCAGCCACGCGGGACTCCAGCGCCCTTAACCACCATGCCACCCGCCAGACCCCTTCACTTTGTCTTTTTTTCCCTTTTTTTGGAGGAGAGGTTTTATTTATTTTTTTTTGGTATAGGGAGCGTGTGCTCACCAGAAAGACAGAAAGTGAGAAATCACCCCCCAGGGGGGATGGCCACGCAGCAATCCCTTCTCCTCCATTCTCCTCTTGGGATCTTGGGCACGCACGCACACGCACCTGGGGTGAGTTTAAGCCACCGGGTCCGGGACTCGAACTGCGGTCGACTACGTGGGAGTCCAGCGACATAGCCATTACACTAACTGCTGATACCCCCTCCACTTATTTTTATAAAGGATAACGTTTGGGGTCCAGCCGCAGTTGGTGCAAGTGGTAGGGATGGTTGTAGGAGGCCGGGCTGCGTGGGAGAGGCCCAGGTTTGGTTCCTGGTTCAGTCTAAAGTGGCTGGGTGTGGCAGCGCGTGCCTGTAATCCTCGCTAAGCAGGAGGCTGGAGCAGGTGGTCTCATGACATGGAAACCTGTCAAAAATTACCTTTAGCACTCTCCTTCTAGCTCCTTCTCCAATTAAAAGAAAATAAATAAAAGAGTCAGTACAAAACAGGTTCCCGTTCTTGGCCGGCATCGCCATCTGCTCAGTGATTCTCCTTTAGGTCTGTGCGCATTTTCCTCATAGCACCTAAAGCTAGAGTCCAACATCCAGGTCGCCTCTGGGTCAGTTTTTCTCACTGCCGCCCTCTAGCTGGGTTAACCCAACCTCCTGGGGTAGCTGCAGAAGCTCAAGCAGCAGAGAGCTGCAGAAGACCAGGCCTGCCATCACAACCTCTTTTCTTTTCTTTCTTTTTTGAAGAGATATTTTTGCTACAGGGCTCATACACTCACCAGAGAGAGAGAAAGAGAGACAGAGAGAGAGAGCGAGAAATCACCCCCCAGGGGGATGGCCACGCCGCAATCCCTTCTCCTCCATTCTCCTCTTGGGATTTTGGGCACGCACGCACACGTGCCCGGTGTTGAGTTTAAGCCACCGGGTCTGGGACTCGAACTGCGGTCGACTACGTGGGAATCCAGCAACGTAACCACTATGCCATCCGCTGATCCCACACAACCCGTTTTCAGTCTAGGATAAAAGAAACGGCTGGCACACCGCAGCGTCCGGCCTGGGCGTCCTGTCGTCAGGGCCGCACTTACCGTGTGTCCTTGGAAGGTTTTGACCGGGCGGTCACAGCCGAGCCTGCACACGTGAATGCACATGTCCGTGCTGCAGGAGGCGAAGGTAGTGTTGTTCTGCCAGTCCACATCAAGGGCAGGGGCTGCGAGGCCGGGGAGGGAGGGGCAACATTTCCATTTATTTATTTATTTATTTCTAAAAGAATTATTTTAACTTTATTTATTATCATTATTATTTTCCAGTTTGATCAGAGAGACACAGAGAGAGAGAGAGAGAGAGAGAGAGGGGAAGCGAGAAAGCAAGCCACCAGGTCCGAGACTTGAACCGTGGTCGGCCATGTGGGAGTCCAGCGCCCCTAACCACCATGCCACTTGCCGGCCCCACTTAGACATTGTAGCGAGAAGATAAGTGAGAAATCACCCCCCACCCCACCCCAGGATGAAAGTCATGCCATAATCCCCTCCCCTCCATTCTCGTCTTGGGAGTTTAGACGCGTGCGCGCACACACACACGTGCCTGGCGTAACTTCAAGCCTCCAGCTCTGAGATTTGAACCGTGGAGTTAGCCATGTAGGAATCCAGCTACCTTAACCTCCATGTCCCTAACGGTAGTGACTCACCGTGATTTGACCATGCAAGCAGAGTGGTCCCTGCCCTGCACCTGTCTTCTCTCTGGCAATCTGGAATTGTGGTCCCTGGTGGGCAGTGGGTGACCAGCCCCAAATAAAACCCTGGGCCCTGTATATCCAAGAAGGTTCTTTGGGAGACAGTGCTTTGCACGTGTGGTCTCAACTACTTCTGGGGGAATGAGGTGTGTCCCGTGTGACTCTACAGGAAGGTTCTAGGGAGCCCCCCAGGCATGGCCATGGGCGCCTCTGCCCCTTGGCCGGTTTCACGGAGAATCTTTTCTTTTTTAAATATTTATTTGTTTGTTTGTTGTGATTTTTAAGCCACTGGGAGTAGGACTCGAACCATGGTTGGCCATGTGGGAATCCAGCACCTGAACCACCATGTCACCAGCTGCCCCCGGGAATCCTTTCACCGTGGGAAACCTTAGCTGTGAATACAACTCAACATGGAGCCCTGTGGGCCCTGTCAGCGCAACGCCCAGCCTGAGGGTGGTTGGTGGACTCCCATGCAGCATCCCTCTTCGCTGGCAGGTTCCCAAGGTCCTGAGCAGGGGGGGTGGGTGCTAAGCGCACCAGCACCCCGCACACTGTCGCGGCTACACTAGGCAGGGTATGGGAGCCCTCCCGCCTCCTCGTTCCACGGCCCCTGCCTCTACGCAGTCTCGACTACTGTCAAGGCATTTCGGGACCTCGGAGTTCTTTTGTAATTAGAACCTCAAAAATAAATACATAAATAAATAAATAATAAAAATAAAAAATAAAAAAGAACTTACCTGAATGAAAAGGAAACTGTTGTTTGGCTTCTCCTGTGTGGGCATCCCAGATGATGGTTGTCTGTACTCCGCAAACAAAGGAAAGAGTCGGTCATCGCTTTTCTCACAAGGTGTTCTCAATCACCTAAGACGTCATACTCCTGTCCTCCTCCCCCTTTTTTTTTTTAAAGAGGTTTTTGCCGTACGGTTTGTGTGCTTACCCGAGAGAGAGAGACAGAGACAGTGAGAGGGAAAATGAGAAGTCACCCTCCAGGGGCATGCACGCACAAGTGCCTGGCAAGATTCTGAAGCCACCAGGTCCGGGACTCGAACCACAGTTGGTCATGTGGGAGTCCAGTGATGTAACTGCTATACCATTTGCTGGCACCACCCCTCTTCCTTCTAAACCAGCCCTGACACGGATTTAGGGGGAGGTTTTTTTTTTTTGCAAAAAGCTCACGGGGAGTGTGTGTTATGAGAAAACTGTGCATGGATTTCAATGGTTTTGTTCTGTTCCGTTTTTTAGCCAAATAATTTATAAATTTTTGGGTGCATCTTCTAGTTAAAAAGAAACGGGTAAAAATCATTAATAATATATCTTATTTCATGCCAAGAGAGCCAAAATACTATCTTTCCGACACACCGCCGGCATGAACACATGAAGGAGCTACCTGACGCTCTCACCTCCATCCTGGGCCTTGAAGAACAGCACGCACATCGCACTACCCAGTCCGGGCAGCAGCCGGCACCATGCCGAGACTTGGGGAAATGTGCAAAAGTGGTGGGGATCCCCCCTCAGCCCCAAGTGCGGCAAAGGAAGGCTGCAGAAACGGGAGTTGTGGCAAGCTTCCCAGCCGCGGGAGCCGGGAGTACTGGACACAGTGGGGTCAGGCCCCACGCTGCTGGTCTACGCACAAGGAAGGGAGGTGACCTGGGCCTGGGGGCACGTCGACAATCACCAATTCTGACAAACTCGCCGATGTGGAGAAGACACTCCAAGAAGCAGCCAGAGGCAGCTTAAGGAACACCATTAGAAAGAAGTCCTTCACTGGGACCAGCAGTTAGCATAAGGGCTATGTCGCTGGACTCCCACGTAGTCAACTGCGGTTCGCATCTGGGACCCAGTGGCTTAAACTCACGTCGGGCGCGTGATGTATTTTGGAGTCCTGCATTATACATGTTTCCCTAAGGTAATGGCTGAGAAGGCCTACTGACCTTACGTGCAACACACCATTCATTCCAAGGTACCTGAGGGCTGGGACTCCAGTCAGCCCTGTCGCCCCCGACCAAGAACCCTGTCACTGACAACTGAAGGCCGGAGAGGGGAAGGTGGCCAGGTGAGCCAGGTTCCGAGCGGGGATGAACGTCTCCTCACTCTCTGTCCTGTGCCCCTTTACACAGCAAGGGCTTCCAGGAGGTTGTCAGAAAAGTCATGATGGGGAACCAGCAGTTAGCGTAATGGCTATGTCGCTGGACTACCACGTAGTCGACCGCGGTTCGTGTCCCACACCCGGTGGCTTAAAACTCACGCCGGGCACGTGTGCGTGCGTGCCCAAGATCCCGAGAGGAGAATGGATTGTGGCGTGACCATCCCCCCTGGGGGGTGATTTCTCGCCTTCTGTCTCTATGTCTCTCTCTGTCTGTCTGGCGAGCGCATGCACCCTATAGCGAAAACCTCTCGAAAAAAAAAAAAAAGAAAAGTCGCGATGCATTTTTTGCATAGGAAAATACACCATGGCTTTCCAACAACCCAATAGGAGTGACACCATCATGTCTCCCTAGCGGCCCTCCCAGGTACAGTCGGTAAATCTTAAATCACCTCCGAAGGCCGTCAAGGGGCTGAGCCTCGTACCCAGGCTACGTTCCTCCTGCGCCCACAGAGGCCTGCGGTCAGCCGAGGGAAGCAGCAGGTTATCGACAGAGCAGTGGCCTGGGTGCACGACAGGGCCTGTTCCTAAACGCCTCCGGAGGCCGAGGCGAGTACACTGAGAGGTGGCGTGCTACCCACGAACGGTCAGATCAAAGCCACGGAAACAAGCGAAGCCCAAACACGTGCCTTGGACTTCTTAAGGGGAAACAGAAAGGCCAAGAATTCAAGAGAAACCACGGTGTGATCGGGAGATTGAAAGTCGGTCCCCATCGAGACCAGACGCACAGATTTCAAGCGGATACTCACTTTGTCTACACCAGCGCTCAAAATATAATTCCCCTTTTTGTTCCATTTCAAGGCAAAGATGGGGCCTTTGTGTTGGCCAAGGGTGCTGGCCAGGTTACCTGTTATGTGAAAGAGGAGAACACACACAAACACGTTGATGTCTGAGTTTCAGTCATGGTCCGTCCCCTCAGAAGAACACGGGGAAGCAATCCCGAACCCGAACCCGACTCGAAGCGGATGGGGGGCTGGACTTACCGTCTTCTGTCCATATTCTTGCAAAGCCGTCATATGAACCCGTAGCCAATAATGTTCCATCGCTCTGGGGGCCAGAAAGAGACACAAACCCCCAGGACAGGTCAGAGGAGGAGCACCTGCAGCCTTTCCCGAGGTGCTCCAGCCTCCGGCGCTCGGCGGAGGGAGGCACCGATCACATGTCGCTGTGTCAGCACACGCCGCCCTCGAGCTGGACGTCACGACCGAGGAGGCCGGGACCACGGAAACACACGGAACCGTTCACCACGGTGTGGTTGCCGTAAGAATCACGGGATTAAAAACATCACATGGAGCGTCCTCTTATGACTCTGCAGAAAGTACAGGGAAGCAGGGCCAGCAGGTGGCACAGTGGTAAAGGTGCTAGACTCCCACATGGCCAAGCGTGGTTCGAGTCCCACATCTGGCAGCTGGCTTTCTCACTTTCCATTCTTCTCTCTCTCTCGTCAAATTAATAATAATGATAATAACAAATAAAAATAAAATAAATAATTCTTAAAAATAAAAAAGTAGAGGAAGCGGGACCAGGGCTCTCCACAAATGAAACCTCTCTCTCGTCAAATTAATAATAATGATTATAACAAATAAAAATAATTCTTAAAAATAAAAAAGTAGAGGAAGCGGGACCAGGGCTCTCCACAAATGAAACACGTAAGAGCGAGTGTTGAGACATCAAGGTGGCAAGTCATCTTTCCTTGGCTGTAGAAACACGGCCCCTCAGTAGAACAATCTTGGGGCTCCCTTTGGTCTGCCCCACCGTGAGGCCTCCTCAATAAAGCCCATGGTTTCCTCTTGTTAATGCACGCTCACGATGGCAAAATCCAACCACCAAACACTCAGCTCACTTGCTGCCCAGTGGGGCCTCCTGCAGGGCTTGTGGAAAGGTGCTGGGTTCAAGTCCCGAGGCCACCCACTACGTGCTGGGCACACACTGTGATCTGGGGTGGCTGGGCCAGGTGGATCTACATGGGAGGACCCGTGGGGGGTGCTCCCCTCTCTCACGAATGAAATAAACATAGAAACGTAAAAAGAAAAGTGCTCTTAGAAATGGAACAACTCAACGGCCAGCAGCCGGGAGAGGCTACAGCAAATGGGGTGGGGGGTGTCTGTCTCCATGTGAGGCACCTGACGGATGCGACAGATTTGAGAGTGCCCAGCGGGCGGAAGGCACTTACGTTCCAGTCCAGCGAGGTGACATCTTTATTGCTGGGGACGTCGTGACCGCCCTCTCGTATACAGTGCCTCAACACCAGCTGGGTGGAGCCCCCGTTGCTGTTCTCATTAAGGTTCCATATCCTCGCAGTGGAGTCTCCAGACCTGCAGGGCAAAGGGACAGGGGCACATGTCTCTCCGCTCCAAGTGTGGGAAGGCGCACTGCCACCTACTCGTGGTGAAGCCAACCTCTCGGAGACGAGCTCTTCCATCATTTTCGCACCCCTCGCTCACCCCATTCCCCTTCTCGCCGTTTCATGCTTGGGAATACCTAAAATGGCTTGGAAAGATGGTGTCTCCACAATGTAAGATACATGGGAGGTGGCATGGAGGTTAGGGGTCTGGACTCACACATGGCGGCTGACCAAGGCTCAAGCCCTGAATCTACTGGCTTGAAAATCATGCTGGGCTCGTGTGTGTGTGCCCAAAATCCCGAGAGGAGAACAGAGGAGGAATTATTGCATGGCTGTTTCCCTTGAAGGGTGACTTCTCCCTTTCCCACTCTCTCTCTCCAGCAAGCGCACACACTCTATAGCCAAACTGAGAAAACAAAACAAGATACGTGGGCAAGTGAAATGCACACAGCAGCTCGTTCCTTGGACCGCACACCTGGGGAAGAGGCTGGAAACCACACAGGAGGGGACAGCATGTCCGGAGATGTGGAACTCCAGAGAAGCAAGGGCAGCTCGATACCCAGACCCTGGATGGCCGCCAATCCGCCGTCCTTACCCAGAAGCTAGTAGGTCGCTGACAGGGTTCCAGGCACAGATGAACACTTCAGACTCATGACCCCGAAGCACTGTGGCTTTGTTGGGCGGAATCTCAACATCCCCGTCAATTTCCATTGGTTTTGAGTGATTATCTGTCGTGGGAAACACAAAAACACATGCGGTTTATCATCACAAAAGAAACTCATTCTCAGGGCACTCTGGTTTTGCAAAGGCGATGCTCTGAGAGGCGGATGACCCACATGAGGAAGGCTCTGGTTTACGAGCAAAGACCCCCGAGTATGTCACGCATGCATGTGCCCAGGATCCAGGCTGGCTGACGCTGGGGTGGACTGTACTGCAAGGACCCTGAGTGGAGTACTGTCACTGTCTCTCTCATTGCTGTTCACGTTAAAATACATCCATAAACACTTTAGTTGGAGCAGTTCAAAGATTTCTAAAACTCTTCCCTCGATGAACCCTGATTTGTCAAAATTCCCAATTACAATCACTTTCTGTAATTTCTAAGATTACAAAAACAGTGTGTAATTGTTTTATTTTTTTCTTTCTTTCTTTTTTTTTGGGAGAGGATTTTGCTATAGGGCGTGTGCACTCGCCAGACAGACAGAGAGAGATAGAGAGACAGAAAGCGAGAAATCACCCCCCAGGGGGGATGGTCACGCCGCAATCCCTTCTCCTCCATTCTCCTCTTGGGATCTTGGGCACGCACACACATGCGCCCGGTGTGAGTTTTAAGCCACCAGGTCTGGGACCGTGGTCAACTACATGGGCGTCCAGCGACATAGCCATTACACTGGTCCCTAACTGTTTTATTTTTGAAATAAAAAGCACCTCTATGTTCTTTCTGTTTGAAAACTCGAGTGTTGTATCCCACATCAGAGAATAGGTACACGCCAGGTGTTTGTCCTTCCCCTACCCTACCCTTAGACCTTACTAACACTGATTATGGAGGGCAGGCCCCAGAGTGCAGTGGTTGAGCCCTGTGCACAGGGAAACAGATCCCACAGGGCTGACTGTGGTTCGAGTCCCAGTCCCAGCAGCTTGAAAAACACGGGGGGAGCAGGTGCCCAGAATTCTGACAAGAGGAAGAGATGGAGGAAAAGGTTACGGCTTGGCCATGCCCCAATGGGCACGTGCGCACGCTTTCTCTCTCTCTCTCAGTCTGTCTCTGTCTCTCTCTGGTGAGCACACAAGCCCTCTGGCAATTAAAAAAGATTGTGATTATGGGGAACCTTTCAGTTTGTGCTGGGCAGATGGCATTTGTGTTGTGCCAGTTTTCTATGCGAAAAAGTGTCATGACTTTCCCGAGGACTCACTATACTACCCTCTCCATGGGCTTTCTGCTACATGTATTCGCTGTGATTCTTGAGCCCCAAGAAGACTTCAAGAAAGCCTTCATTTGTGCCTGGGGATGACAATGCTGGCCCAGGCCTCGGGTCTTGCTGCAACACTGTTGGAGGCCAGCGGCCAGCCCTCTGCAAGTGAGGATGCCATGGAGGTGGAGTCCGCGGGGTAAGATGCCAAGGCTCAAGCCAGCTTAACATGCACGATGGCCACCCGAAGGTCAATGATTATCAAGAAAAGAAGGGGGCGGGGCCAGCAAGGGGTGTGATTAAGGATCCCACGGGGCCAGCTGCACGGTTTGAGTCCTGGACCTGGCAGCTTGAAAATGGAGCTGGGAGCAGGTGTGTGCCCAGAATCCTGAGAGGAGAATAAAGGACAAGGGTTACGACGTGACCACCTGCCCGGGGAAATGATTTCTCAGGGTCTCTCTCTGTCTCACTCTGGAGAGTACGTGCAGCCTACGGCAAAATACCTAAAAAACAAAACAACATGCACACACACACACACACACACACACGCACGCACGCACACACACAGGTGCCACTTCCATATGCGATGTGGTCGTTTTGAACTTAGACCCTGAATCAGGATCTCCCGAGTGCAGAAGCAAGTCCAAGCGGCCCCCACGTGGCTGACTATGTGGTGAGAGTAACAGACCCAGAGGCTTGAAGGAAACATACTGGGTATGTGTGCACGTGTGCCCCCAAACCCAAAAGCAGAGAGATGAAGAAAGGACTGAGGTGTGGCCATGCCCCTCCAGGAGTGCCTTCTCACTTTCTCCCTCCTGCCATCACCCTGGCAAGTGCACGTGCCCTCTGGCAAATTAAAAAGAAAGAAAGAAAGAAAGAGAAAGAAAATAAAAAAGAACGTTGAGTTCTAAGCACCCGTGTGGAGCACATGGAGCGTGACACTCTCGCAGTCAGGGCACGGGCAGGCAGGAGACATGCAGGGCAGGCAGCCCTGAAGACTGCCCAGCTCGGCCCAGACTGAGATGAAAACAGCCCACCGGAAGCCCACCAGCCCCCAGGGATTTCGGGCTTACTTATTGCGTGTGCTCCGTTCTCTTCCCCATTCACCGTGGCCTCTCCGTTCTTTGGTGGATTTTGCTGAGAAACAGCCGCTGGGGTTGCCGTGGCTGCTGTTGCCGTTGCCGCAGAAAAAAAATGCTGCAGCTGCCGCCGCCGCTGCTGCTGCACTAGCCTGCTGCTGCTGCGCGAGCTTCTCTCGGAACGCCTGCTGCCTGGTCTGCACCACGTCGGGCATCACAGCGTCGATCAGGGACAGGGACTCTATGGGGCGGCCGTCGAACACTGTGCCGTCCTAGGAAGCAAGCCCAGGGGATCGCCATCAGCTCACACGCAGAAGGGGCTTGAGACCTCGGTTGGTTAGAGACCCCAAAACTCTTGGCATCAGGGAATGGCGGGGGTTGTGGAGGAAGCTAGCATTGAGTGGGCGCCCACGAGTGGTGGGCCAGAGGTGGGCCACAGGATCGTCCAGCAGAGTCAGGTGCAATGGCTGCCCTGACAGATGCCCAAGCAGCAAATTGAGGCAGGGCACTGTGGACAGTGGAACCCATTTACTCCATGACAGGAAGCGCTGTTCGGGATGCAGTACTTCTCCACGGGGATGATTCTAACCTCTTGAGGGACGTTAGGCAGTGTCAGCACAGTTCTGTTGTCCAAAGAGGGGTGGGAGGCTGCTGGTAAGTCATGGGTGGAGCCTAGGGGTGTTGCCCCACCTCCGTGAGTGCACAAAGCAGCCCAGCAACGAGCATGACCCAGCTCCACCTAGTGAGTCCAAAGCTGGCAAACCCATCCCGCATACTTCCACGATGTGGAAAACCTCTGCAATAACCAATCACCCCTGTGTCAGTGCGAGGAGGAACTCAATAAGCATCAGTTGAAACTAGGGGTGTCTGCACTACCCAGAACCTGCTTCCTATACCATCTACGGGTCCAATTTAACAAAAGAAGCTCGGAGCACCTGCTGCTATCTGAAATGACGCCTTGGGTTTTGGGGATGGGGCTAGGGAAGAGATCAAATAATAGCCCTGACACAAAGGAAAATGACACTGTTCATTCTGGTTCATGTATCTTTCTTTGATTCTTTAGTTTTTATATACCATAAAGATTTTTTTCTTTCCTAATTTCCTGTTCTCCCCAGTTCTGTGTTTCTTTCACAACTTCCTATCACTCCAATAATTCTGTGTTTCTCCCAAACATCCTTTATTCCTCCATAGTTTTCTGTTCTCCTACAATTCCTTGCAGCTTTCATGACTTCCTGTCACTCCCATAATTCTCCACTTCTCCCACAAGTTCAGGTTTCTTGCAAGACTTCCTGTCAATCCAAGAATCCCTCTTTTCTCATAATCCATTTTCTAATGACTGCCATTCCCACATTTCCTCCTTTCTCCCATGATTCCATTTTTTCTTCCATGACTTCTGGTCACTATCATAATTTCTTGTTACTCCCACAACTCCATTTCTTCCATGACTTCTTGTCTCTCCCATAATTCCTTGCTTATCCATGAATCCCTGTTTCCTGCATGAGTTCCTGTCACTCCCACAATTCTTTGTTTCTTTCATGAATTCTGTTCATCCCCAAAATGTCCTGTTTCTCCAACAATTTGTTTCATGACTTTCTGTCATTGCCATAATTCCTGTTTTCCTCCCACAATTGCATTTCATTCATGACTTCCTGTCAGTCTCATGATTCATTTCTCCCATGATTTGAAGGTGACTTTCCAAATGCCTTTCTTCTAGTTTCTTGTTCTCCCACAATTCCTTGTTCCTCCCACAATTCCATTTCTCCTATACTTCCTCTTTCATAACTTCCTGTTTCCTCCCATAATTATTTGTTTCTCTCTTGTTTTCCTGTTCCTTTTGTAACTTCCTGTCACTACCAGAATTCTTGGTTCTTCCCACAATTCCTTATTGCTTCAAAGAATTCTGGTCATTTTAATAAATTTTTGTCCTCCAAAAATTCCTGCTTATTTCACACATTTCTGTGGCTTCCAGAATTTCTTTTTACCTCCCACAATTTGCTTCCATTCATGATTTCCTGTCATCGCACAATTCCTTGCTTCTCCCACACTTCCTCTTTCATAACTTCCTGTTCTTCCCATAGTTCCTTTTGCTCCCATAATTCCCTTGCTTCAATTCCTGTCACTGTCATAATTGTTCCTGCCACAGTTCCTTGTTTCTTTCATGAATTCTGGTCACCCTAATAATTTCCTGTCTTCTGAAAACTCTGGCTGCTATCACAAGTTTCTTTTGTTTCTATAATTTTTTGCCTCCCATAATTTTGCTTCTTTTATTATTTCTTGTCATTCCCACAATTCCTTGCTTCTCCTACACTTCTTCTTTCACAATTTCCTGTTCCTCCCATAGTTCCTTGTTTCTCCCTGTCATTCTCACAATCCCTTGCTTCTCCTACACTTCTTCTTTCATAACTTCCTGTTCCTCCCATAGTTCCTTGTTTCTCCCATGATTCCTGTATCTTGTATGCCACCCTGTCCCACAATTCCTTGTTCCTCCCACAATTCCAACCTATTTTGTTTCTCTTGTTTCATAACTTGCTATTCCACCCATAGTTCCTTGTTTCTCCCATGATTCCCTGTTATTTGTATGTCTTCCTGTCACTCCCATAATTTATTTTTACACCCACAATTCCTTGATTCTTTCATGAATTCTGGTTGTATTAATAACTTCCTGTCCACCAAAACTTCCGGCTTCTCTCACGAGTTTCCGTTGATTCTGTAAATTTTTTTTTTTTACCTATTTTGTTTCTCTTATTATTTCCTGTCACACCCACAATTCCTTGCCTTCCCCACACTTTTTCATAACTTCCTGTTCCTCCCATGATTCCCTGTTTCTTGCTTCACTTTCTGTCACTCCCATAATTCCTTGTTTCTCCCATAATTCCTTTCTTCTTTCATGAATCCTGGTCATTCTAATAATTTTTTTCTCCGCTAAAAACTCCTGCTTCTTCCACAAGTTTCTGTTGCTTCTGTCATTTCTTTTCACCTCCTATAATTTTGTATCTTTTAATATTTTACTCCTGTCACTCCGACAATTCCTTGCTTTTCATGCACTTCCTTCAATAATTTTTTGTCCTCCCATAATTCTGTTTCTTGTATGACTTCCTGTCCCACAATTCCTTGTTCCTCTCACACTTCCTGTTCCTTGTTTCTCCCACATTTCTTTATTTCTTCCAAGAGTTCTGTAATTTTTAGAGTTTAGTAATCTTTGTCCTGCAAAAATAGTTTTGGTGGCTTCCATAATTTCTTTTTACCTCCCACCATTTGGTTACAGTCATCATTTTGTCACCCCACAATTCCTTGCTTCTCCCACACTTCCTCTTTCATAACTTCCTATTCCTCCCATGATTCCTTGTTCCTTGTATGGCTTCCTGTCCCATAATTCTTTGTCCCTCCCACAATTTCCTGTGTCTGACACTTCCTGTTCCTCCCATAGTTCCTTTTCTCCCACGATTCCATTTCTTTCATCACTTCCTCTAATTCCCATAGTTCTTTGTTTCTCCCACAATTCCTTTCTTCTTTCATGAATTCTGATCAATCCAATAATTTCCTGTCACGAGTTTCTGTTGTTTCTCTCTTTTTTTCCTATCACAATTTTGTTTATTTTATTATTATCCGTCACCCCCACAATTCCTGGCTTCTGCTACCCTTCTTCTTTGATAACTTCCTGTTCCTCCCATAGTTCCTTGTTTTCCCCATGATTCCACTTCTTGTTTCACTTCCTGTCACTCCCAATATTCCTTGTTCCTCTCACAAATTTCTTTCTTCCATGAATATGTGTCATTTAAAAAATTTTTTGTCCTCCAAAAATTCCTCTTTCACAATTTTTTATTGCCTCCATAATTTCCTTTTACATCCCAAAATGTTGTTTCTTTCATGATTTCCTGTCATTTCCGCAATTCCTTCCTTCTCCCACACTTCCGCTTTCATAACTTCCTGTTATCCCATAGTTCCTTCTTCGCCCATGATTCCGTTTCTTGCATCACTTCCTTTCATTCCCGTAACTGTTTCTCCCACAATTTCGTTCTTCTTTCAGGAATTCTGATCATTCTAATAATTTCCTGTCCAAAAAAAACTCTTTTCATGAGCTTCTGTTGTTTCTCTAATTTTTTTTTACTTCCCATAATTTTTTATTATCTGTCATTCCCACAATTCCTTGCTTCTCCTCACTTCCTCTTGATAACTTTCTGTTCCTCCCACAGTTCCGTGTTCCTCCCATGGTTCCCTGTTAGTTGTATGTCTTCCTGTCCCACAATTCTGTTTTTTTGATACTTCCTGTTTCATAACTTCCTGTTGCTCCCTAAGTTCCTTCTTCTCCCATGAATCCATTTCTTGGTTCACATCCTGTCACTCTCATAATTCTTTGTTTCTCCCTTTGCTTTCATGAATTCTTATCATTCTCATAATTTCCTGTTCATGAAAAACTCTTTTCATGAGTTTCTGTTCACTAAGTTTTTTTACTTCCCACAATTATCTCTTATTATTTTGTCACTCCCACAATTCCTTGCTTATCCCACCCTTCCTCTTTTCATAACTTCCTGTTCCTCCCATAGTCCCTAGTTTTTCCTGTGATTCTGTTTCATGTTTCACTTCCTGTAACTCCCATAATTCCTTGTTCTTCTAAGTTTCTTTCTTCCAAGAATTATCGTCATTTTAAAAATTTTTTGTGCTCCAAAAATTTCTTTTTATTTTACGACTTTTTATTGTGTTCGTAATTTCCTTTTAAATCCCCAATTTTATTTCATATTTTTACTCCCACAATTTTATTCCTTTCATGACTTTCTTAAACTCCCATAATTCCTTGTTCCTCCCATATTTGTTTCCTGCATTACTTCCTGTCTCTCCCATAATTCTTTGTATCCCACCAACTTCCTTTTTCATAATGTTCTGTTCTTGCCATAATTCCCTGCTTCGCCCATTATTCCGTTTCTTGTATGAGTTTTTGGAACTCCCATAATTCCTTGTTTCTACAATTCCACTTTTTAATTCCAATGACTTCCTGTCCCCCAACAATTCCTGTTTCTTTCATGAGTTTATGTACAAAATTTCTCTTTACCTCCCACAATTCTGTTCCTTTATAACTTCTTGTCACTCCCATAATCCCTTATTACTCCTACACTTTTTCTTTCATGACTTCCTGTTCCTCCATGATTCCCTATTTCTTTTATGACATTCTGTCATTCCCATAATTCCCTGTATCTACTACTATCCCGTTTTTCCATGACTTCAGTAATTCCAGTAATGTGTTCTCCAACAATTTGTTTCTTTAAAGACTTTGTCG